CGGCGCATCAGGTACCCCTCCCCAAACTTCTTACTCGAGTTCTCCAGGTGGGCCCACCGTGGGAGACACCCCTACAATCCCTGCGTGACCTCTTCTAATTGCCGCTTGGTGACCTAAGGACCCCGTTTTGTTGCACATTCCTCCAGGGCGCAGTTTTTACCCAGCTTTCTTCCTCTTCCTTTGGTTTCATCCAGTCCCCTCGTCCACCACATCCCGTCCTGGTCCTCAACCCTAGTCCCCATGGTCCCAGAGCCGGGCCCTGTCAACAATAGCACCCCAGCCTGGGGGCCCGGGCCACCGCCTACCCCAGGGGGAAGCGGCTGGGTGGCCGCCGCGATGTGTGTGGTCATCGTGCTGACAGCGGCCGCCAATTCTCTGCTGATCGTACTCATTTGCACGCAGCCCGCGCTGCGCAATACGTCTAACTTCTTCCTGGTGTCGCTCTTCACGTCGGACCTGATGGTGGGGTTGGTGGTCATGCCCCCGGCCATGCTGAACGCGCTGTATGGGCGCTGGGTGCTAGCGCGCGGCCTCTGCCTGCTTTGGACCGCCTTCGACGTGATGTGCTGCAGCGCCTCCATCCTCAACCTCTGCCTCATCAGCCTGGACCGCTACCTGCTCATCCTCTCGCCGCTGCGTTACAAGCTGCGCATGACAGCCCCGCGTGCCTTGGCGCTCATCCTGGGTGCCTGGAGCCTCGCGGCGCTTGCCTCCTTCCTGCCTCTGTTGCTGGGCTGGCACAAACTGGGCAACTCTCGGACACCTGCCCCCGGCCAGTGCCGCCTATTGGCCAGCCTGCCTTATGTCCTCGTGGCATCCGGACTCACCTTTTTCTTGCCTTCAGGTGCCATCTGCTTCACCTACTGCAGGATCTTGCTGGCCGCCCGCAAGCAGGCGGTGCAAGTGGCCTCGCTCACCACGGGCATGGCTGGCCAGGCCTTGGAGACCTTGCAGGTACCGGGGGTGTGTTTCGGAGACCTGGGCTCTTGGGCTGGGAAGGAATAAACAGTCATTGGGAATCCACTGGTTGCCTGCCTCATAGTAAGCCCTTGCTGCTGATCCTATAAGGCCTTGGGGCTCTGCCTTTCAAACTGTGACTGTGGTGAGTTAGCTGCTATATCCGGATACGGAGGAGGAAGCTGGCATGCTTCTCCGTGACAGGCCCCATCGTGTATCACATGTGGGAAACTTAGAGAGTATTCTCTCTCCCTCATATTCACGCTCCTTTCTCGGGGCCTGTTGGTCCTGCCTCCTGGTCTAAGCACACCTCTGCTGCTGTCTCCCTAGTCTAAGCCACTGTCACTTCTCACCAGGGAGCCTTTGATGGACTCTGGCTGGCCCTCACTGCGGTCCACTTTCCCAGCTGGAGCCAGTGTGAGTGAAAATTGCTTTCTTTCTACAAACCTTACCTAGCTCAGTATAAGGAGAAAACCCATCACAGAACGTGGCCCGAGGATACTTCCAGGCCAAACTCCACCCTCCCTTTCTCCTCTCTCCCTCTCCTCCGCTTAGTCTGCAGCCTGATCTCCTAAGGTCTGGTCACCTAGGACAGTGGTGTCTGGGTGGGCAGGAATCCTGGCTGCAGCCCTCTCTGTATCCCTCTGTGGTCTGAGAACATTCTGGAGTCTCTGCAGCTGTCTGTGGTCCTGACACAGAGGCAGGATTTTAACATATAACAAAACAGTTATCAAGCAAGAATTACAGTTATAATATTTAGTCTATTTGCATTTGGCAAAATTAAAGACAATACTCAATCATATATCCTATCTTTGTGAGTCTAAAGTTTTATATCTAATTTATCTTTTATCATAACCAAGGAAAACTATAACTATTTGTCTTCAACTCTATCAAAGACCCCAGTAGGATACAATATTACCTAAGTAAACAGGAAGTATATTGTAAGAAGCTTCCAACATTCTAGAAATGACAGACATCTGACTGCCTGGACAGTCACCCAAAGTTCCTCTGCAACGTTAGGGCATCTATCTTCAGCCTACAGGCCTAGAGTATCCGGCAGACTTTTCAGTGAAGCAGAAACCCTGAAAGACTATCCCATCTTGTTTAGCAGTCATTTTCTTGTGGGTCCTGCATGTCCAGTTTATACAGCATCCAGTCAAGCAGTCCAGGAAAGAGCAGTTTCTTGCCCAGTGGGCTAGCTTTTGCCATAAAGAAAGCAAATTCCATATGGAGTTTCTTCGATGCCCATCATCTTCATTGAAGGAGATTGGTGCTGCCAGGAGCAGACATGTCTCATTGTCACGAAAAGCCTAAGTTTTTTAAAACATTTTAAATGTCATATTCTGTAGGTCTTTGAAGTATTTGAAGATTACCTATCCATCTGAAATATGTTTCTGTATATCTAGAAAACCTAACTAACTCGGACTAAAAGTTTGACTATTATAGATGATTTCTATTAATCTGTATTTCTTAATTATACATTACATTTTTAAATGAGTGGCATAAACATAATACTTTAAACAAGAGTAGAAATACATACATACAAAATTGTCCTTAAATTTGTATTAATAAACCAAAATCCATACCAATGTAAAGTATTCATTTCTATGTCAGCCCTGGGCCTTCCACTCTTTCCTGAGAACTTTGGTGGTTTCCTCTTTGTTTGAAAAGATTGACTTTATTCTTGCTTGGTGAGTCATCCATGTCTTGTCATGATTTCATTGACTTTCCCATTTGTTGACTTGAGACTGAGAGGCATAGCATCTGTTTCTTACCTGTGTGAACTTGTGGCCTCAAAGGCAGGTGGCTTCTCCCAAGGAGTCCTGAAAGTGAATGGGCTACAGTCAATGTTGGTGATGCAAGCAGATAATATATAATATCTCTACACAGCAGGGGCTTGCTTCTTACTCAGCAAAGAGTCAGATTGTTCAGTGGTCAAGAGAGCTTGCTGCAACACCATAAAGACGGGAGACTGAATTCCAGCACCCACACAAGAAGTTGGGCATCCCGAAAACTCTCATCACTCCAGTGTGTTCGGTGCTGTCTCTAGGATTCAGTGCATGTGAGAGTGAGCATACCAGCACACACACACACACACAGACACACAGACACACAGACTGAGACAGACACACACAGACAGACAGACACACACACACACACACACACACAGAGACACACACTGAGATAGACACACACAGACAGACATACACAGACACACACTGAGACAGATACACACAGACACACACAGAGACAGACACACACAGACACAGACACAGACACAGACACATACATACTAACACATAGACACACACAGAGACAGACATACACAGATACACAGACTCACATACACAGACACACACATACACACACACACACCTCTTTTTTTTTTTTAAAAAAGATAAGGTACTATCCAGAAGGCTTAGCAGGCACTTGTTATCAAGCCTGAGGACCCAAATTTTATTCCTGTGACCCACAAGGTGGAAGGAAAGAACCCACTCCCAATGTTGTCCTCTGACCTCCACCTGTGTGTCATGGCATGTGCATGGGCTGCTCCTGGCCACCCCACTGAGACCCCCTCCATGTCAGATGGCTTGTGCACACACTCACACACACACACACACACACACACACATTCACACACTCACTCACTCACATACACACACATACATGAAAACACTATTAAATACAAATGGAAGATCCTGTGTTCTTGAAGACATTGACTGACTGGTACAGGCTCTCCGGGGGGTCTACCAGTGAGTGCTTCCCCCCACCTTGCTCTCTGAGTTTTGCAAAGGAAAAAGAATAACCTAGGGTTTGTGCCTTCCTGTCTCTCCCACTCCCAACCCCCATCTCAAGTCTCTCAATTTGTGTCTACCTGGCATTTTCTTTGTACTCCACATTTATCTCTTCACTTCTATGAATGTGTTCAGAAAGGAAACTTCCTTTCTCTTCCAGAAATGGAAAACCAGTATCCCTTACCATGAGCAGTCACAGGAAACGCAAGTGTGGGGATGCCAGAGTGGTTCCACAGAGTCACTTAAGTGCATCTGTCTGTCTGCTATGCCCAAACCCGAGGCTGGCTTTCCTGGCGTGAGCTTGGGGAGGGGGTATTAAGAGCAAAGACCATGCTGTCTCTTTCTGGAAGACAGTTTGTAACTCAGGCCCTGTGTTTGTGTTCTTAAATTTTATTTTGTTATTATGTGTGTGTGTTTGAGCACACACGTGTACCATGCATGATAGGCGTGGAGGATGGATGGTGATTTTCAGGGAGCCTGGCTCTGTGCAGTGCCTTCACCCGCTGAGCCCTCAATGGCGCTCTCTCTCTCTCTCTCTCTCTCTCTCTCTCTCTCTCTCTCTGTGGCAAGAACTAGTCAAGTCCTGCATATATATATATGGTTTTTATACAGTTTGTTCTCCCCCCAAAGGGTTTCTCTGTGGCTTTGGAGGCTGTCCTGGAACTCGCTCTGGAGACCAGGCTGGCCTAGAACTCACAGAGATCCGCCTGCCTCTGCCTCCCAAGTGCTGGGACTAAAGGCGTGCGCCACCACCGACTTTTTTTCTCTCTTTCTTTCTTTTTTTAGACAGGGTTTTTCTGTAGCTTTGAAGCCTGTCTTGGAACTCACTGTGTAGACCAGGTGGTTTTGAACTCTCCTCTGCCTTCCTAGTGCCTAGTGCTGGGATTAAAGACACGCACCACCACCACCCTGTGGCTCTGTGAGATTTTAAAATGTTCACTTGGAACTGAACAATCCTGAATGCCTGTTCTTGAGGAAGCTTTGTACCAGATATCAAGGATGTTAGAAGTTGGCCTGTTGGACTCCACAGTCCCGGCAGGGCCCCCACACAGGTGTCCTTTTGGTGAAGTGAGGTCAGTTGGTACCAGAATGGGACATGGTGACCTCAGGACCTGCATGGGAGTCTGCTACAGCCACGTAACATTGTCTTGAGCACTCTGTCAGGCACCAAGCCAAGCTTGGTGCCCAAAACACCCACTGAGTGTCTCTCCCTCAGCCTTGCTTTACAGTAGGGAAACTAAGGCCCAGAGAGAGCAGATTCAAAGAAGTGATGTGTGACATTATACCATGTCCCCCTGCTGACTGTTTTCCAGGTGCCCCCTGAGCCTTAATCGGCCAGTGTAGTCCGCACCATGGGGCTCTGATCTGGGTCCCTATTGTTCTTTTTCCACGCTTTCTCTGTAGTGGTTTTGTTTTATCTCAGGCCTGGAAATACTGTGTACAAGCTGCTGGGTCAAGGCCTGCTCAAATACAGACAGGACTCTGCACTTCCCAGGCTCCAGACTTGACCTCCAGAGCCTTCTCCATGTCAGTGGATGGTGACCTCCTTTTTCTGGTCTCCCAGGCCAGGAGCTCTGGAAGCATCCTGGACACCTCTCTGCTTCTCACACGGTGTATCCTGTCCTCCTCTCTCTACCAGTGACACTTGTCCAGGCTCTGGGCACCTCACATCTCTCTGCTGATGTCCTGGAGCCGAGTCCCTTTATTGATGCCTGGGTTACTATAATAATCTCCCCACCTGGTATGTGTGCTGTGCTCTGTGCTTGCGACAGTTTTTGTCCCAAGACTCCCTGATCCTTTTCTGTATTCCCTTCTTTCTCCCCTTGACTGCTCTTCCTCTTTCAGTCACATTGGCCTCCTTGTATTCCTTGAGCATCAAGCACATTCCTGTCCCAGGGCCTTTGTACAGTCTGTTCCCGCTTTCATTTCCACACGGTCCTTCTTCAGCTTCTGTTGTATCTTCTGGATTCTTCCGTCCTCATGCTTCTGAATAGGAACTGCTACCCTCCCTAGGTCCTCCTCAGGCCGATGCTCTCTCGGCAGCATCTGTAGACATCTTGATTGATTGATGGTGTCTCCAGAATAAGAATTGAGCTTTAAGAGTGCAGGAGCTTGTCATGTTTGCTGCTGCATTTTCAGCACCCAGAACTGTGCCAAGCCTATCACAGCCGCTCAGCCTGTGTTTATGGTGAGAAGGAAATGGACACAGAGCTGCAGAGGGCCCGGGGTTCCATCCTGGCTCATGCAGCTGCCTATTTTCACCTCCTGCAGGCTTACTATGTGCAATGAGTCATCAAGCTTTTCATAACATGAATTCATTAGCCCAATCAGTGGCATGTGTTGAGTACCTACTGTTCGCAAGAGCTATATTTTGCCTGTAGAGATTTCCTTCCCTGCTTAAATTTATGCTGGTTGCAGAGATGGGCTAGCAGGAAGGGAGGAGGGTGGGTCTTAGAAGAGGGGAGACCTCACGGCAGCCATATTCTGTGTGTAGCTGAAGGCCTAAGCAGAGAAATCACAGTGAACCCTGAAGCCAAAGGCTGGAGGATATTCCTTCTGTCCCCTCAGAGATAGGCTGAGCCACTGGGCTTTCAAGCCAAAGGCATGTTTATCCCGTCTCTCTCCTCCCAACAAACACTCGCTGGAAAGCCTGTTCAGTCTCTCTGTCTCTGTCTCTCTCATTTTTTTTGGGGGGGGGAGAGGTTGAAACAGAATCTCTCTATGTAGCCCTGGCTGGCCTGGAACTTACAGAGATCTGCCTGCCTCTGCCTTCCGAGTGCTAGGATCATAAGCATGTGTTACCGTATTCAGCCTCTTTTAAAAACAGTATTTGTGTGTGTGCGTGCATGTGAGTACAGGTGTCTTAAGAAGACAGAGATGTTAAATCCCCTGTATCTGGAGCTACAAGCAGTAGTGAGCCACCAGACATGGATGCTGGGAACTGAACTGGGGCCCTCTGCAAGGGCATGCCCTTAACTGCTGAACCATATTTCCAGCCCCAATCCTGTTCTCTTGGCTGGTGAGGGATCAGACCCTCCACTACCCTGCTTTCAAAGCCCCTTGGCAGAGAGGGAGCCTTCAGTGTGCCCATTTCCTAAGTGCCTGGATCCTGCATTCCTTTTGGGGAAGGGCTTGTGTATGGTGTGGCACTCTTGCTCTGTCCGTTTGGGGTTTGTGTCTGTTCCTCCTTCGGAGCCAGCTTATCCAGAAAGGCAGCTCACCAGGCATGGTGGTGCATACCCTTTAATTCCTGCACTCCAACTCAGGAGGCAGAGGCAGGTAGATCTCTGAGTTTAAGGTCAGCCTGATTGATGTGGTGAGTTCCAGGACAGCCAGAGCTACATAGTGATATCCTGTATCAAAACAACAACTTCTGGGCAGTGGTGACGCGTGCCTTTCATCCCAGCACTCGGGAGGCAGAGGCAGGTGGATCTCAGTGAATTTGAGCCAGCCTGGTCTACAGAGCGAGTTTCAGGATGGGCTCCAAAGCTACAGAGAAACTTTGTCTTGAAAACAAAACAAAACAAAACAGAAGGGAATGACAGCCTGGAGGTGGAGATGGTCTTAGAGCTCAGATCCACAGGAATGGTGTGATGGATACAGAGAAGGTGGCATGAAGCCCCCTCCTTCCAGGATCAGCCTCTTTTATCTCTTCTCTTCACCAGTGCATCCTCTAGCTCCCTGCAGACAGAAGGGAGGTGGGAAGAGGCTCCCAGTCCCTGGCATGGGCAACCTGGGATCCGGCCAGCATATCTCTCTGCTGATCCACATATGCCTCTATGTGAAAATGGGCTTTAAAAAGCCACTCCTGGGCAGTGGTTCTCACTAAGTCTTCCCAGCATTCCCAGGGGCTGGGGGAGAGAGGAGCTATGCTTAGAACTAGGGTGTCAGGGAGACTTGTGGGGGTAAAGATGTCTCACTGACATGATGGATGCCAAGGCAGCATGTTGTGGGAAGGGAAGAGAAAAATAAATGGAGGTGAGGCAGTGCATACCTGTTACTTCGGCATGGGCAAAAGATTGAGGCAGGAGGATTGCTGTGAGCTTGAGGCTGGCCTGATTGACCTAGTGTGTTCCAGGACAGCCTGGGCTACAGAGGTCCTGTCACACACACACACACACACACACACACACACACACACACACACCCTTCTCCAGAAAATGAGGGAGGGAGAGAAAGATCAAGGGAGAAGAGAGAGAACTGGATGGAGGGGTATCCATCCTTGACTGACCCTAGAGAGACAAGAGCATCATTTGGGCAGTAACGGGCTGCAGCACTTGTGCACAGCCTAACAGGGGCAGGAAGGGTGAACCAGGAAGCCCCTCCTCCACCCCAAGCTCCCCCTCCTTCTTCCCCTGGGTGCTCCTCTCCCGTCTCCTTCCCTCTGCCTCCTGTGATTTTCCCTCCTCTCCCCTCTCCCTGCCCTTCTCTCCCAACTCCACATCCCTCTGTCAGAGACAAGTTTCCCTCCACCCCCATCCCTCCTCCTCCTCCTCCTCCTCAGAGGAAGAAGTGACAATCACTGCTGGGGAAGGTGGCTGCAGAGTGCAGGTGGCTGCTGTGCGGAGCTGGGGGCTTGGAATAGAAACTCAGTGTTCCCTCCGTCAAGTCCTGCCTGCTCCTGTCACAGCTGAATAACCTTGGAGAAGTCATTTTGCCTCTCTGCATCTCAGGGCTAGAGATGACAATCCATAAGGCAGGGAAGTACTAATACACAGTGGCTCTGGCACATAGTAGGTTCTCAACAGGTTTCTCTCCTCGCCTATTGGTGGTAGAATAGATAGCGCTGGGGACCTCTGTCTTCCATCCAGCCTTTCCAGGGATTGTCATGGTGTCACCAACAGTATCACTATTGACTAGGTGAGAATGATGGGATGCTTACAATGTAGATGGTAACAGCTAACCTACATGGCACTGGCAGGGTTGGAGGAGCTGGTCCAACAGGTTTGTATTATCTTGTTTAACCCTTAGCACACACCTGCGAGGTGGATATCATCAGAAGGGTCTTTTTACAGAAGTATCTGAAAGAGGCACAATAACTTTGCCTAATGTCGATCAGAGTCGGGTGTGAAACCCTGTGGTCTGGCTCAAGTCCATCTTGTCAGCCTCACTCTGATTATTGAATCATTTTTATTTTATTTTATTTTTTGTTTTTTTGATACAGGGTTTCCTCTGTGTAGCTTTAGAGTCTGTCCTGGAACTCGCTCTGTAGATCAGGCTGGCCTCAACTCACAGAGATCCGCCTGCCTCTGCCTCCCAAGTACTGGGATCAAAGGCGTGAGCCACTAACGCCAGACCCAGCTCATTTATTATTTGAGGAAACAGGTGTACAAACATGCCACCGTTACAACATGCTTTGCCCTTCAACTCCCATTCCAGAGCAAGATCCAGAATTATGCAGAAGGGCAGCTCGGAGCTGGGGTTCCAGCATTGTAGACGGGCATCCATTCTCTGCAAGCCCAGTTGGCAGGGAGTGAGGGGAGGAGTGCTCCATGTGAGAGCATTTGGCTAGCTTTGAAGCTCCCTGGCTCTGACAGACCCTGGCTTTGCCTCCTCCAACCCCTCTCCATCTGTGGAGGGTTGCCTGGGAATCTGGTTCCCTTCCTGCCTCCCCTGGTCTTTGCATCTCTCCACACCCATCCCACCTCTGGCTGCCTTCAGAACCCAGCTGGGCACTGCACGTTGGAATTTACCTGTCATCCCAGCACTAGTAAGACCGAAGCAGGAATATTTCCAGATTGAAGTTAGCCTGGACTATGTATCCTGGACTACATGTCCCCAAATTAGTTAAAAGAAAAACACTGAGGCTGGGAAAATCCCTGGATTCAAAACCCAAGTGTGTGAAGAAGGCAAGAACACGGCTGGGAATGTGGCTCTGGTGGTAGAGTGTGAAGCCCTGGGTTCCATCCCTAGCTCTGAGTAAACCAGGTGTGGTGACACATGCTTGGAGCATTAGGAGTTGAAAGTCATCCCCAGGGCTCGGACACACATCGTCAGGCTTGGCGGCAGTCACCTTCACTTGAAAGTTGCATTTTTTTTTCCTTTTGAATGTGTGAAAATACACTTTTTATGAGTATCTTTTTCTGGGGGACAGGTTTCTCATATTTTCAAAGGGGACTCTGAGTTCAAAGTGCTCCAGGCTCATTTCTTGCCTCATAATGATCTGGTAAGGTTGGTGGCCAGGTGGCAGCATCAAGCTCAGATCTCTCGATACTTGCTTGACCCCTCCTTGGTGGCTGCTGGGGAGTGGCACCATCCTCCTTCCCTGTTCCCCACCAGAGTCCATAAAGAGAACAGAGTCAGATGTCAGTGTGGATTGGAAAGGATCTGTGAAGCCCTAAGGTCATGAGCCGCACCCCTATGTATCTACTGTTTTGTGGACCATGAGGGTAAAATCCCTGATTCCAAAACATGCAAGGAGTCCATGGGCGGTACAAATAATCTATTCTTCGGCCTTGGGTGTTCATCCTTAAGTGTAACTGAGTCTTGAACTGTGAAAGGCTTGGAAGGTGATGGGGCTGTGTGCCTGTCTGTGTTGAATGCCATCCATCCATCCATCCATCCATCCATCCATCCATCCATCCATCCAATTTACTTTTGAGACTGTGTCTCTTATAGCCCAGGCTGGTCTCAAGTCACTTTATAGCTGAGGATAGCCTCGAACTTATGAGCTGGCTTGGATTCCAGGGATGTATTCCTACACCTAGTTTGTGAAGCAGTAGAAATGGAATCCGGGGCTTCCTGCATGCCAGGCAAGCACTCTGTCAACTGAGCTACATTCTGATGCCCCTGTGCAGGAGGCCGTTCAGAGCTGTCTGCCTCTATGTTTGAGCCTCCTCAAACTCCTTGTGAAATACTGCATGGACCAGGTGTATTGTGGGTTCAGGGTCAGGGCTCAGTATAGGCTGTGCTGGAGGCTCAGCTTTAGACCTTGGACACACAAGGATCTGTGGGCAGACTGTGCTGTGCTTAGCTTAGCAATGATGTCAGGCTTGGTCTCCAGCCAGCGATGGAACTGGAGTTAGGCCTAGGGCTTCAGTTGGACATCAGTCAAGGACCAGGGCTCAGCTATTTGCTGGTATACTAGGACTCAGTCTAGTATTGAGGCTTAGTCTGTGACTAAGATCAGTCAACTTACGTGGCCTTCCTCTCTACAGGTACCCAGGACCCCACGCCCAGGGATGGAGTCTGCTGACAGTAGGCGCTTGGCCACCAAGCATAGCAGGAAGGCCTTGAAGGCCAGCCTGACCCTGGGCATCCTGCTGGGCATGTTCTTTGTCACCTGGCTGCCCTTCTTTGTGACCAACATAGCTCAGGTAAAAAATGACATGCCTCATTGTACTAAGGTGGGAGGGAGGAGGATTGTGCATCTGTGTATCTGTGTCTGTGTGTCTGTCCCATCCTTGCTGGGTCCCTGCTCAGGACCAGGGGTGATGAATAGTATCCCCACAGGCTGTGTGCGACTGCATCTCCCCAGGCCTCTTTGATGTCCTCACGTGGCTCGGGTACTGTAATAGCACCATGAACCCCATCATCTATCCTCTCTTCATGCGGGACTTCAAGAGGGCCCTGGGCAGGTTCCTGCCATGCATCCACTGTCCCCCCGAGCACCGGGCCAGCCCTGCATCCCCCTCCATGTGGACTTCTCACAGTGGTGCGAGACCAGGCCTCAGCCTGCAGCAGGTTCTGCCGTTGCCTCTGCCGCTGAACTCGGATTCAGACTCGACTTCAGGGGGCACCTCAGGCCTGCAGCTCACAGCCCAGCTCCTATTGCCTGGAGAAGCGACCCGGGAGCCCCTGCCACCCACCAGGGCCGCTGCTGTGGTCAACTTCTTTGTCAAGGACTCTGCGGAGCCTGAGATACGGCAGCATCCGCTCAGTTCCCATATGAACTGACCGGGTCGAGAGCTGGCCAGTGGAGAACCACATCCCGGAGACCTCAGTCCACACTTCCTAAGACTGGGAGATGGTAGCCCTCCTGGGAGCCAGCTGAGCCCCATGAGGCATCCTCAGCTAGCCCCCATCTGCTGCTACAGGCCTCTTGACATGAGGGGAGATCAGACACAGCTCTGTGGTTTGTGTAGTGTGGCTGGGGGACTCAGGGAGATGGGCCATTTGGTTCAGGCCAGCAGGAAAGCAATCTATTTTAGTCCTTTCTCTCTTGGTGGGTGGAAAGAACACCCATCTAGACACCCACCCTGGTTCTTGTCTGGCCCAATCCCCTGCTATCCAAAGTGCCGTCTATGGGATATTGGGGCTCTCATAGGCCCTGGGGAGTTTATTCAAATGCTCACCCTCTCCACTGAAGATGTGTTCAATCAAAATTGTATGATCATGAGCTTTTCCACATATGCATTGGCGGGAGACTTCAGACTTGCCAACCCCTAGGATGGGAATTGCAATACTAAAGAGCACCTTAGGCTGGAAGCCAGGCAGCCAGAAACATGACCCTTTCCTCAACTGTATACGGCAGTTTGGGGCCTTGGCACAGGTTTCAAGGAAGAGTAACGATGCCACCTTATAAGACAACGTCAATAGTGTGCCCAGCACTAGTGAGGGGTCAGTAGGTGGTAAGTTCTGTTGCTTTAACTCCTGGTCAGCCAGGGCCTGGGTCTGGTAGAAAGCTGTTAAGCCCCTCTCCCCCTTTCCTCCTTGCCTCTCTTCTCTCTCTTTATCTCCCTTTTATTTATTTATTTATTTTCTAGGATCTCATGTAACCCAGGCTGCCCTCAAGTTGCCACAGGGATGTGCCCTGTGTGGCCAAGGATGACCTTGAACTTCTGATCCTCTTGCCTCTACCTCCCAAGTGCTGGGATCACAGGCATGTAGCACACACCAGGTTTGTGTGGTGGTGGATAGGACCTCAGGGCTCCAAGAGTTCTAGAAAACAATCTATCAACTGAGTTATGTCCCCGGTAACCCCCTTTTTTTCTGTTAGGACAGCCTTGCACATACTAGGCAAGGGCTCTCCACGGAGCCACACCTCAGCCCCACTGTTCTTTCACAGCCTAGATTCCCATACCCTAAATCAGGCTCCCAGACTCCTCATTCTGGTGGGTGGGGGACCCCACCACTCAGGGACCCTTCCAGCCCCATCTGCTGTTCTGCCTCTAGGGGCTTCTGACAGATCTCGTGCAACCTCAAGAGTGGGTTTGCTCCACCCCGGGCTTCCTGGAGAGGAAGCGGCCGATGGAAGCGGGGCCCACTTCCTCATCCTGCTTCCTTTGGTCCTCCCTAAAGACAGCTGCTTGGGTGGGCAGAGCACAGTGGAAGACGAAATGTCCCTGGCTTGGGGGTGAAGCCACAGATAAGCAGGTGGGCTCTGGCTTTGGCCTGGCTTTTGTGGGTAAGGGCGGGGGACTCTTGGTTCCATGCTTCCCTCATGTTCCATCAACCAGGCTCCCAGGCTCGTCCTGAGCGGCCAGGAGCTCTCCTTGGTGCTGATCACATTCAACTGGGCCCTGGCAGCAGGGTTTCGGTGCTTGCCTCTGGGCCTGCCTGAGGGACTCAATAAACACGAGCTGAAGGAAGTGGCTGTGTGGACTGAATCTTACTGAAGCCCAGGTGGGTTGGAGAGCAGCTGAGTAAAAGTCTCCACCCAAGTTTCCTGGGCTCTGATCTGACTCTGTCCCTAGCTTGCTTTGTGACAGCCTCCCCCACCCCACAACAAATCACTGTTATTTTTCTACATGGACACGGCCAGCTTGTCCTAAAAGCAGCATGAGTTGGGTAGGTGTCTGTAAAATGAATAAGTGACGCATATTGCAGGGGTATCCAGTGTCCAAATACTATGACACCCGCAACCTTGTATGGGTCTTCCTTTTCCATGTGCGCAATGGGGCTGTGTCACCTCTGCCCCTGCCATCCAGGGGTGGGAGGGACAAAGAGGAGGTACTCATGGATGCAGATGCAGGGCCTTAGCACTGTGGTCTGAAGTTCCACTGGCCAAACTTCATAGTGACTCCGTCACTGATGAGCTGTGTGGCCTTCAACAGCTTTCCTACTAACACAGAGGCTCTGTTTCCCTGGCATAAAATAAAAGGGTGGTCGTGAAGGTCAGGAGAAAAGCCTTTGGTATTTATTGGTCCCTCCCTGGCAATCCACATTTATTACCAGCCCTCTTCTCTCTGTGCCGACTGAATTCTGCCTTTGTTCCTCTTGCTACAGTTCTATCCAGGGCCGTCATGTTTCACAAGCTCACATCCATCACGTCTACGTCTCAATTACTCCCGAAGGTGTGCAGTGCGCACAGCCTGCACATCTGTAGGGACAGAGCTGACTGGACCTCCCAAGGAGAGCAGATGGAGGAGAGTGCCTCACTGGCACCTGAGAAGGACCCACTGGTAGGGCCTGGGGCTGGTGAGCAGCCTGGAGAGTTGATAAAAGATTGGGAAGACACTTGGTTCCGCTGAAGTTGGAGAAAGAGGGAACAGGGGAACCTCCAGTTCCACAGTGACTCCTGGGCCTCTAGATGGGACCTGCAGGGCAGGAGCCTATACTGACCTGGAGCTGGGTTGATGTTGTAGGTCACATGACCAGTGTTCCCTCAGGGAGCAAGTGTTTCCTCCATGGCTCTCTACTCTAGGCCCTTTCTGTTTAAGGAAGGCACTTGTGGAAATTTCACACTTCCAGAACATCCCGAGGAGCTCAGAAGTGTTAGAGAGAGTTGTGTACAGAAGTCTGGAGAGATAGTCCAGGCTCCTGCTGGGGTCAGTCCAGTTCCGCACAGGACTCCTGGGTCCCTTGTGTGCAGTCAGGGCAGCCCAGTGGGTTAGAACTCACACCATGGCTGCAGATCAGGGGTCCCTCTGCTGGACTGGCAGCAGTAGGGAGCAAGGTTTCTGTGGATTGGTTCAGCTCTGTTGGCATCTGGGCTTGCCTGGCACTGGAAGGTATGGCAGTTTTGAGACTGTCTCCTGGATCAGGTCCCTGGGTTTGCCCATCCTGGTGGATCGTCTCATCTGTGGAAACTGCGGCTGTCTGGAGAGGCTCTTCTTGGGGCAGGCTGCCAGGAGCCAGTGGGAAACCTTTCTCACCCCAGCCTGGCTTGGTTCGGATGCCCACAGTCTTGAGGATGACATCCATTTGCTTGGCATAGTCCAAGTGCCCGTTGACCTGCAGGGAGACCATGAGTGAGGACCATGGTGGGAAGGTGGGCAGGTGGACAGGGTGATTCCCTGGGATCCAAGCTAAGTTCCACCCTGGGGCAGTTACTCAGCATCCCAGGTCCCAATTATCAATGGTTTTCAAGTCCAGAATGCACTGGGTGGGGGGGGGGCAGGGGTATAGGATCTGAGCTAGGGAAAGTTGAAGAAAGCTTTTACAAATGTGTGGGTCGTCTGGGGCAGGAGGGCCCACCCTGATGGTTAGCAGGCAGGGGAGGGGCTCAGTAGTTACTCTCCAGGAGCTGTGGGACCTTGGGTGGCATTAGGAGTAGTGCCCTCATAGGGTGGCCAGGAGGGTTTTCCCAGAAAAAAAAAATCCCAAGTTGGAAATAAAGTTTTGTCTCAGCCTGTAAGGTTCTGTTTCTTCACAGCTCACCGATGCCTATCGTTACTCCACTTAGTCCGGTTCCCCTCCTAGGAACTCCCCTCTTGCCCTCCTCATTGTGTGCTGAAAGCCCCCAAAACAACAGTGTTGAGAGGAGGGTCCTTGGGAGCCTAGGGCTCTGCCTCTGGCTTCACAGATGTGTCATCCTGAGGCCGGCTTGCCCCTGCACCATGAGATGATACAGCCAGAAGCCACCACCAGACACCAGTGCCACAGTCTTGGATGCCAGTTGTCACTGTTAAAAGTCATGTAACTTTCTGTTCATGGTACACGATCTAGTCCCAGGCATTCACTCACAACAGTCCAGAGGGCCAAGAAGAGAGGAAGCAGCGCTATTTCCCATGCTTCTTAGAGAATGAGTGCCTTTTCTTACCCCGCACCCCCCCCACCGTGTGTGTGTGTGTGTGTGTGTGTGTGTGTGTGTGTGTGTGTGTGTGTGTGTGTAGGTCAAAGGTCAGGTGTCTTCCTCAATCTCTCTCCACCTTATTTTTTTCAGACAGGGTCTCTCACTGACCTTGGACCTATTTGGCTAGACTGTCTGTCCAGCAAGCTTCAGAGACACTCCAGGCTCTGTGCTGCCCTCCCCGCCACCCATCCCCCAATCACAGTTCTGGAGATCTCAACGAAGACCCTCATGATTTTGTGGAAAGCACTTTGCTGACTGAGCCATGTCCCCAGTTCCCTAGGCATCTCATAGAGATGTTTCCCAATCCGGGTCAGTGCTAGTCCATTTCAATGGGATATGCCTGGCGCTTAGTAGGTACCGCATAAATGTGTTCTTGACTGTAGTTTGCCTCAAGGAGGAGATGAAGATGGGAGTTGGCTGGGCTGATCCATTTGGGAGCCCAAGGCAGCTGCTTAAGCTCTAGCTATCACATCTGAATTCCAGCCAACAGACACTTCAGACCCACAGGGACAAACACTAACCAGTTCTCTAGGGACAAATAAGAGCTGCTTTCCTGAGCCTTTTGGATCCCGGGGAAGGACTGGTGCCAGGGCTGTGTGGGAACAGGCAACCAGGAAGGGTAGTGCCATTGTCAAATGGCTTCAGGTGGCCATCACACCCACAGCCCAGAGCTCTAGCCTCCTCTGCCATAGGCTGGTCCAGGTCTCGGCCATGCACAGTCCCCCAGGTGCTATTCTATCAAGACCCAAGATGGAGTCATTGTTGCTGGCAGCCCATGTTTATAGTCAACAGCAGCGGGGAGGGCACGGTGGGTCACTGGTGTGTGTGTGTGTGTGTGTGTGTGTGTGTGTGTGTGTGAGAGAGAGAGAGAGAGAGCGAGAGAGAGAGAGAGAGAAGAGAGAGAGAGAGAGAGAGAGAGACATCTGATGGTAGCCCGTGACCATCTCCCCAGCTGTCCCGCCGAGCCCTGCCCACTGCTTTGTACAGCCAGACATCATGAATGCAAAGCAACCATCTTCCATGAGTGATTCTGGGCAGAGGGTGCAACCTCGGGACACACCAGGCAGCTCCCACCACATACTGTCACTTAGCAAAGGCTCATTAGATTACTGGCTGAGAGACTGCAAACTCAGGGGGTCACCAGGTCCCTGTGGGTAGGAACTGACCCCAACATTTCCCCTCTTCGGCCTTGCAAGGGACCTGGCCTGGCTGCCACTACCCCACCTGTCTGTCCTGAGGACCCCTTCCTTGCCTACTAGGCCCTGCTGCCAATGCTTCTTCTGTAAAATGAAACTGACAATAACCCCAGCATCATGTGGGCTGCCATGACCAGGAGACCATGTGGATACTGGCGGGCTAGCAGGGCTGCAAATTGTTGATGAGGCTTCGGAACACAGGTGGCACAAGTGTGTGGCTCTGAGGCAGCTTCCCTGGGTTTCTGACTTGAATCTACAGCGTCCCCCTTCTCCGGCTGGCGGTGTTGTGAGGCTATGGGATCTTAGGGTGTGGGGTCCAGCTTGTGGAAGTAGGTCATGCCAAGTGGGCTTTGAGTGTGACGCCCAGGCCTTGACCCCTCCCTCTCCCTTTGCTGTCAATCACCCGTCTGTGAACAGCTTCCTGCTGGGCTGTCCCTGCCCTGGCAGACTGAAGCCTGCCTAAACCAAGAATGAGTGCAAATAAATATCCACTTGAGTTATTTCTGCCAAGGGGCATGGTCGCAAGGGACTCAGAAAGTCACTAACACGGTCATGTTTGTTACACGCCACAGCCTCAGTTTCCACATCTGAATGATGGATTAGTATGTCTTCTGGGACCTTTTGCAGGTCACCTGACGATGGTGCTGTTACAGACTTTGTACTCTGTGGTTGGCCCTTTGTTAAATTCTGGAAACCAAGTACATCCCTCTGGGACATGGAGAGGTTTGTCCTGGACCAGGGCTTCCTGAAGGACAGCTTCAGATAGTGAGGGAGCCCTGGGGTGGTAAAATCCTCTACCTGCTGCAGCCCAGAGAGGCATCCTAGCTGGGTCCTTTTATCTCCCCGCCCCCTGCCCCCAGAGATGGTCCCTGCCTGCCACGGGGAGGAGGGAAGGGACAGGTCTGTAGCTGCTGGTGCAAAGGGAGCTGCCAGGCAAGTCCTCCTGAGGGAGCCCAGACAGCCCCTCCTCCAGCAATGAGCTGCCAAGGAAAGCCAGGGACACAAAGGCAATGCTAATTGCCTCTAATTAGTCAGAGGAGGAAAGCACCGCTTTGCTGAGGCCCCTAATGTGATAAAGAGCTATTATTAGGCAGGAGCTGAGCCAAAGTCAAGGTGTTTGAGGAGGGAGAGGTCTTTGAGCAGCTAACTTCCAAACTGAAGAAGTGAGGGCAGTGGGGTGCCAGAAGAGGAGGGGGTTAGTGTTAGGGAGCACTCCCCATATGATGGGCCCACTGCTAGGTTATATTCTGCTCGGTCAGCACCAGGGTCTACTGCTTTGAGTCTAGCCGATGCCCTGCACCTGAGTCTCCTGCTTGCTTTGGTTATTGCTGGGCTGGGGGGTGGGGGCGGCAGCCCTGACTGGCGATCTGGCTATTGCTGTGGGGTGGGGGAGGGTAGGGTGGTAATGTGAAGACTCTAGGGGTTTGGATCCAGCCCTGTGAATTGCTAGTCGGGAGACAGGAATTCTCCTAAGCTTTGATGTCTTCGTCTGGAAATGGGACACAACAGTTTCTGCCTGGCAGCAGCTTGAGGATTACAGCCAAGGGGAAAAGGCTGGCATGGAGCCCACAGGAGGCAGGTCCGTGCAGGTACTATCTCCAAGTGCTGCAGCGACCTGGTGTCCCTCATACACAGGCCAATGGGGAGCCCTTGGAGGGAGAGACCAGTACTCACCACTGAGGACAGGTCTACGTTCTCCATCCTCCGGTCCTGCAGCAGCACGGGCTGGAGGCCTGCCACCCGGAGCTGCACGGAAGACGTGCGGTACACGAAGCTCAGCAACCAGTCTCCCCTGAAGGCAGAAACAGGCACCATCAGCTTGAGCCCGGCCAGGTTGGGCCTCTGACCCTTGGGCGACTGACCAACTGGGCACAGTTGGACACAATGTAGCCTGGGTTGGCCTCAAGCCCACAATCCTGCCACCTCAGCCTGCTGGGATGGCATGTGGACACCAGAAGGGTCTCCTAGATGCTCTGAGGGTCTCTGACCCACAGCAGGTGCCTCCTCCAGAGACAGATCCCTTCAAATCCCACCATTTGCTCTTTTCCTGCAGGCTCATCCATCACAGGCCCTCTATTGTCTGTCCCTCTGCCTTCACTTGTCACCCAGAGCCTCTGGTTCACCCGCCCCTCCAGGTCTGACTTCTGAGTCCTGCGTGGCCTTACAGTGTGGGCTGCACACTTTGGCTCAAACCTGCAGCCACCTCCCCCATGTCCCTCATATGTATGTATTTGTATGTATGTATGTATACATATTTTCTTTAAATTGTAACATTGTAATATTGGGTCCCTGGGGCCTGGGCAAGCACTCTGCTCAGTTGACAGGGTATTTGCCTAGCATGCACAAATCCTGCTTTTGATCCTCAGCACCGCATAAACCAGAATTGATGGTGCATGTCTGTGCATCACAACACCCAGGAGGTGGAGGCAGGAGGACCCTTGGCTATATAGAGAGTTCAAAGCTAGCCTGAGCTATGTGAGAGCCTGCCTCAAAAAGATAGCAGTCACCTTCCTGCCCTTAATTTTGAGCTTAGAGTGTCATCTTCTCCAGGTGACTTGGCCATCATCCTATGTTTTCAGTGAAGGTCTCTTATCCAAAATCCCCGGGACCTGTGGTGGTTCAGAATTCATGGGGCTTGGGAATTTTACAGCTAACCAACCTGTAGCCTACATAATACAGGTTACTCTTGCAAGCTTAGGGTGGGGCTGCTTTTTGGGATCTTGGGCTTCTAATGTCCAGCAAGGCTGTTGGGGGGCAATAGGTCCTCAGGAAATATTGTTTCCTCCCCGATGGCATGAGGCTCAGGCAGACCTGCAGTAGCCATTGACGATTCTTCCAGACACCACCTTCCGGAATGGTTCCCAGTACTTGGGGTCCCCTTCTACTGGTGCACCCAGAAGAACCACATCCTCGATGATCCCTTGGCAATCTGGTGAGAGAGCCCAGCATAGCCTGTCAGTGTTCCATGCCACACTGGGTCCTGGTGGGAGGGGACAGGGTGGTTTATGTATGGGTTGGGATGGGGAAAGGTAGAGGTTGGCAGGGGACTTGAAAATGATAAAGGCAATCATATTTGCACACATACACAAACACACTTACACATGGATATACACGTGAAGCATTAAACCTGTGTTGTCCTATTATTAATAAAAACTTGGGAGTCAGATATTAGGGTAAAAACCTGATAGATCCAAAGAGCAATGGAGGAATGATCAGCTGACCCCACTTTCTACACTTCCGAGATCGAAAGGCTGAGAATTTCCTAAACTCTTCACTGTATCTTCCTGTGCTTCCCTATCTGGGTCCTCAAAAATCTCTGTGGCTAATTCCAGTCAGCCAATTGCTGACTCCATCCCCTGATTCAAGGTAAACTTAATTAAAAATCTTGGAGCATCAGTGAGAACAAATATCCCACAACACACACACACACACACACACACACACACACACACGGCAATGGGGTGTATGTGTGACACAGGGTTCCGGCCCTGAGTCAGAACCTTACATTCCTGATCTATTCCTGCACAATGTCATTGTCTCAGGTAAGGTAAACATTTGCACAGTCACATAGACAGCAAGTGACACAGCTCACTCAAGTTGGAACCAGGGCATCTTTCCACCACCCAAAAGCTCACGCCCACTGAGAACATGGATGGCCTGTCATCTCTCTCATTCTGAACCCTTCCCTTGGAAGATGGGGAAATGGGCTCAGAGAGAAGACGGCACCAGCCCAAGGCCACACAGCCAGAGAGAATCCAGCAAGTGCTACAACTCAGAGTACCTGGATAGCTATGAGGTCCCTGGGACCATTCTCTCTTCTATTGCAGTAATCGAGAGGGTCAAACTGTGTGATCTTTGGTCACCACTGGGCCAGGACCTCTGAGGTCACCATTCAGATGCCTCCTTTGCCCTACGGAATTCCATCTCCCTAGAGTGGCCTTTCTGCCATGGGACAGCTGGTGGAGTGCTACACCTCCTTGTGGCCAATGGGGACAATAGCAGGATTTCTGAGCAACTGTTAGATCCAGGGAGAGCCACAGAGAAAAGCCTAAAAAGGCAACTGCTTTGACCTTGAACCAAGATTTGCCAGTGAACCTCCTATGGCAGTCCAGAGTGAACATAAACCAGGTTGGGTTGGACATGCATTTCGCCACGCCTGAAGCCCAGCTGGCAGCTGCCTCACACACTACTTCTTTCCAGTCTCTGATAAGTTTGCATTCAGAAGATTTGCTCTCAGCATGGGGGTAAATCTTGGACACAAGCTACAAGACAGGTTCTTAGCAACCCACACACATTGGCCAAGTAAAGCTGGCAAGAACCACCACCATGGAATCCTGGATGGGATGTCAGAGGCCATTACCCACCCTCTGAAGGTTCCAGAACAGGAGGAGGAGGCAGCGTTAGGAAAAAGGGCTGTGGGAAAGACACAGCATCAATTTACTGTTTGAAGCTGGGCATGGTGTCACACACCTGTGATCCCAGAACTGCCGAGGTGGATGTGGGAGGGTCAAGAGTTTGAGGCCATCCTCTGGTATATGGCAAGTTCAAAGCCAGCCTGGAATATAATCAACTAGCCCACCCCCTAAAATAATTTAGACCTTCCTGGCAAGGTACAGAAACATCCTTATAAGGGGTTGGGATCACCACTCTGGGCTAATGTGCTTGTGTAGCATGTGCAAGGTCCCGTGTTCCTGTCCCTGCATTGGAAAAAAAGTTGTTATCAGGTTGTACCTTCAGTGTCCAGCAGCTGCCCTTCATAAGGACATGGGATCTGTAGGTCAGGAGGTGCAGTCAGTACAGAATGCACCCACTTTTCAAAATCAGTGACATCAAAGGCTAATGAGATGGCTCAGTAGATAAAAGTGCCTGTTTTGATCCCAGGAACTCACATGGTAGGGGGAGAGACCAAGTCAAATTGTCTTCTGATCTCCACATGGGAACAGAGGCATGCATGTTTGCATGTGTGCACACACACATCACACACACACACACCACACACTCAGACATACATACATAACAGACACATTCATACACAACACACACAAACCCACACCCCTACACAATACACATATACAACACACACAACATACACACACATATATACAGCATAGACACATACATACACAGCACACACAAACCCACACCGCCACATACACATATACAAGACAAACAACATATACACACAGCACACACAAACAACACACACACACACACATACAACATACAGACACAACATACATATACAACCTTTACACATACTTCCCCCCAAATACAACGTAAGTGTAAAAAATATAATGATGCCAGAGATGAGTATTTAATGGCCCTGGTGTTCTTTTGCGGTGAGGATAGTGTCTGCTGAAAGTCACTGTCTGGCTCAGGCTTTCCCTCCCGTGACAGTCTGAGGTACTGACTACAGGTCCCCAGGGCTGAGGATGCAGCTCAATGGTAGAGCACTTGCTTAGCATGTGCCTTCCATCTCCCCCGCCCTGCCCCGCCCTGTCCCGCCCCCACAAGCTTATAAATATTCATACTCTTATGTAAAAGGGGTGTGGTTCTCTTCAAGTTCAGAAGTCACAGACATGGCCAGCTTTCGTGCTTGGATTTCTCATTTTTGCAACATTTCCTTAGATCTTATCCACATTCTGCTATTACCAGGGGGGTGGGAGGTCCTCCACCCTGCTATAACTTTGGCAGTAAGGAGGCATTGTGCCTCCCCCATAAAGGAAAGCCTGTCAGTCAAGTCTTCGACCTCATTCTTGGGACTTTCTGTCATCCCATGTGTGGACAGGCACCCTTCCTTCCACTGTTCTCTCTGTTTACCAATTCTATTACTCTAGCCCAGGAGCAATGCATTTGAGATGGGAGTCAAGGATGAGGATATGGCTGGGTTCCATGCTTGGCACTGGAAGAACTGGGCGTGCTGGCTGATGTCTGTAATCCCAGCATCTGAGAGGCAGAGGCAAGAGGATCAGAAGTTCAAGGCTGTCGTGGTTGGAATGAGAATGGCCCCCATGGGCTCATAGATTTGAATGTTTGGTCCCCAGTTGGTGGACTGTTTAGGAAGGATTAGGAGATGTGGCTTTGTTGGAGAAGATGTGTCACTGGAGGTTGGCTTCCAGGCTCCTTGCTTTCTGCCTGCTGCCTGCAGATCAGGATGTAGCTCTCAGCTACGTTTCCAGCCCCATGCCTGCCTGCCTGCCTGCCTGCCTGCCGCCAAGCTCCCCACCATGAAGGTCATGGACTGAACTTCTAACAATGTAGGCAAGCCCTCACAGCAGTGAAATAGCAACTAACACAAAGGCCATCCTTGGCTATATTGCTAGTTCTAGGCCAGTCTGGAATACATGAAGCCCTATCTCCAAAACAAAACAAAACAAAACTCCAACAAAGTGATTGGAGGATGCTAACTGTTGACAGGTCATGGGAGAGTATTTAACTGTTGTTCGTAAATCTCCTAAAATATTTTATTTTTATTTCAGTGTTTTGTCTGTGAATGTGTACACGAGTTGTCTTTACAGGTGCCCTTGGGTATTCACCGGACCCCATGGAGTGATAGGCAGTTGTGGGTTGCCTGATTCGGGTGCTGGGAACTGAACTTGGAGCCTCTGCAAGTGCAGGCTGTGCTCTTAACCAACTCCCCAGCACCAGTTTAAGGATTTCAAATGCATATTAAGCAAATGTTTTGCCACAGCCATCCTCCATCCCTGGTTTTAAAATTTTAATTGTGAGCCAGGCTAGGATGGCACACGCTTTTAATCCCAGCACCCAGGAGGCAGAGGCAGGTAGATTTCTGTGAGTTCAAGGCCAGCCTGGTCTACAGAGTGAGTTCCAGGACAGGTTCCATAGCTATTGAAAAACTCTGTCTTGAGAAACCAAAAGAAAAAAAAATTTAATTGTGAGAAAACACATATAACATTTCCCATCTTGTCATTTTTGTTTGTTTTGAGACAGGATCTCATGAATTATAGGTTGGCTTAGAACAAGCAATAGAGTGGAGGATAGCCTTGAACTTGAGACCTTTCTACTTTTATCTCCCTGCTTCTGGAATTACAGGTGAAGGTCACTACTCCAAGTTAATGAGGCGCTAGGGATGGAACTCAGGCTTCCATGCATGCTACTAGAGAACTCTATCAACTGAGCCACATGTCCAGTCCCTTGTCACATTAAAGTGTTCAATTCAGGGAGCCTGAGAGATGGCTCAGTGGTTAAGAGCTCTTGCCAAGGACCCTGGTTCAGTTCCCAGCACCCATGTTGGACAACTCACAACCACCAATATCTCAAGCTCTATGGGGTCTGACACCCTCCTCTGGCTTGCATGGGCAACTACTGCACTCGAACCCCTAGGCATAATGAAAGATTAAAAATAAATCTTAAGAATAAAGCATTTGCTCAGTATCATCAAGAACATGTCATTGTGCAGTGTTCTTCACTTTTTGTTGTTTTGTTTTTGGTTTTTCTGGACAGGGTTTCTCTGTGTAGCCCTGGCTGTCCTGAAACTTGATCTGTAGACCAGGCTGGCCTCGGACTCAGAGATCTGCCATCCTCTGCCTCCCAAGTGCTGGGATTGAAGGTGTCACCATCATCCACCCGGCTTCTTCCTCCACGTTTGTCAGCATTTACTATCAGTTTACATCTCTCCGTTGCCCCCCTGGACTCCTGGGATGACACTTTCACCACCTGGCACTCCTAGAAGTCTAGAGATGGCTGGCTTCAGTTTTTTCAAAGCCCATCCAGGACTCAGAAGGGACGGGACACCCTTTTGTCAGTGACAGCTTTGAAAACTACCTATGTATAAATTCTAAAACCAAACATTTAAAGAAGGTGTCACAGGGGGCCACCTGTGAGCCCCCTGTGACACATGGAAACCACCATAGCTGCTCTGAGCTCTGTGAGTCTCCCTATCCCCACAGCAGGCCTCATTAAAGGAAAACCAATGTGCACAGAGCTTTTGCTATCTCCCCAAATGGCAAAGGGGCATAA